GTTGCAGAGTCCCTCTCTTTTCTGAAACACACACATGCCAGTCTTTAAACATGCTAAAAAAAAAATTTTTTTTTAAGATTTTATTTTTGAGTAATAACTCACAACCCCAAGATCAAGAGTCACACGCACACTCGACCAACTGAGGCAGCCAGGCGCCCCTCGGCTAAATTTCTTGAAATGGTAGTCTATGTTCACTCTATTCTTCGGCCTACTGCAAAAGTATTCTAGCTACTTTGTTGAGCATTTAATGATGTGCCATGTACTGTGTTAAGCACCTTATACACTCCAATCTAATTTGTAGGAGAACCCCTCCGAGTAGACGTTAGGAGATGCTCCACCATGAGTCTCCGACATTGCCCCACATCCTGCAGAGTATGCCCAAAATACAAGGCCCTGCCTTCAATAAATTCTCAGACAAGCCAGTTCAGACCTAGAGCCTCTTGAAATGAGAGATTGGGTCCCTTGATGAAGGGCGATGTTACAGTGGCAAAAACATGCTGTTATCTTCCTTCTAGCCTTTTCCAAATGTACCTGCAGCCATTTCCCAGGGTGGCAGGGCACAGGAAAAGGGGACATAACTAGAGTTTTCAGGGATTATTGGACATTGGATCTAGACACATTCTAATTCTCGGAGATCCAAAACACGACTGTTAGCTTACCAGGCCCGGTGGACTGAGGGAGATCAGGCCTATGTTGCTTCAACCCTGCACATTCCAAAGAAAGTTCACCTTCAGGACTGGCACTTGGCTCACCCCAGTGAGAGAAATTCTGAGCCCTTGTAATATTTTGCCTGATTAGGGTGTTTCATACGCTGGAGGCCTCGAGTCACACTCTACCAGTCGGACCAGAAGAGTTTATCCTAATAATGTAGTTTATAATAAATGACTGGTTTTGCTCTGAGGGGCTGAGTGAGTAGCTGAGGTCAATTATGTGAACACTCCATGTCTATATGACTGACCCTCCCAACCCCCCAGCAAAAAACCTAGACACCAGGGCTGGAGTGAGTTTCTCTAGTTGGCAACGGTTCACACATATTGTCACAAATCATTGTTGGGGGAATAAAGTATATCCCTGCAACTCTACTGGATAAGGACACCTGGAAATCTAAGTTTGTGCCTGGTTTCTCCTGGGCTTTGCCCCATGCACCCTTTGCCTTTGCTGATTTTCATCTGTATCTTTTTGCTTTAATAAGCTACAAACTGGAGTATAAAAAGAAAGGAAAAAAAATGTAAGGCCTCAACCACTCTTTCCCCAGCCATTTTTTTAAAATGTTTTTTATTTCTGAGAGAGAGAGGAGACAGCATGAACAGGGGAGGGTCAGAGAGAAGGAGATACAGAATCTGAAACCGGCTCCAGGCTCTGAGCCAGCTGTCAGCACACAGCCGGACGCGGGGCTCGAACCCACGAACCATGAGATCATGACCTGAGCCAAAGTCGGCCGCCCAACCGAGCCACCCAGGCGCCCCTCCCCAGCCATTTCTTAGGGTTGTCTTTGCATGAAGCAACCATGAGGGAGAAACAGTGTCTCTATATGGAACAAAGAGTATGCTTACTACTTACCATAAAATGCCAGATTCCCCGAGCTCATTGTTCCTCCCCCACAGTGCAACTCTGTGTGCCTAGCATCCATTGGGCCCCTCCATGTTGTCTCTGTGGACAGGAGGCAAAAGAACCAACGCATACATAATGCTCAGGTGACTTGTGCCATGAACAAGGTCTTGTCTCTGACACTGGAGTCTCTTGTCTTCTGCCAGCATCCATGAAACGATAACAGAAGATTTTTTTTACTTTGCAAGCAGGGTAACCTTAAATTGCACACCTGACCGTAGGTTTTATTTCCCTTTAATAGAGGAGGGAACTGAGGCTCAGTGATATATTAAGTAACTTGTTCAGAATCACTTATCTGGTAAATCTAAGGGCCAGGATTTCCAAGCCAGGTCTGACTCCAAAGCTAGCTGCTACACAAGGTACTACTTCACAGAAACTGTGCTTCAAGATGCCTTGATGACTCAGCAAATCAACAATTTAGTTTTTATCTTTTTTACCTTAGTTTTCTTACTGGAGCGCTCTTGTAACTTAGCTTTCATGCCCCAAATTCTTCTAGCGTTGCAGGTGCTTCTTGTGGTTCCTCCTAGTGTGCACGTGTAGGAATTCCTTCTGTGTTTCTTGTGAAATGTACACGTTTTCCCAAATTTCAAGAACAATTAAGCAAGAAATAAAAGTGCAAAAAAAGTATCATAATTCTCCTGTGAGTTAAAGCTTAACAATAAACATAGAGAAGGTACTGGTTTGGAAGAGGTCAGTAAAAGCAAGAGCAGGAAATGCTGACATGCAGAGTTGAAAGTGAATGTCAACCATCTGTAAAAGGGACAGGAGCAACTAAAAGACATCACAACAGGGGCACCTCGGTGGCTCAGTCGGTTAAGCATCTGACTCTTGATTTTGGCTCAGGTCATGATCTCATGGTTTCTTGAGTTTGAGCCCAAAATCCTCACATCAGGCTCTGTACACGGACGGAATGGAGCCTGCTTGGGATTCTTTCTCTATCTCTCTCTCTGCCCCTTCCCCACTCATGCTCCCTCTCTCCTCTCTCTCTCTCTCTCAAAATAAAAAAACACAAAACAACACAATATCACAACAGGATCAGGTAATGTTACCTGTAGCTGTGGCCACGTTGGAAGTCTGTATTCCTGGTCCTGTCTGCTGCTAATTAGGGGTCATTCTTGCAAATAAAATACTATATTCACAGGATACTTTGCACAAATCTATAAATGGTGTTCAAGACATAAGTTTTGGAAGCAAAATAAGTTGGTCTCTTAAATTACTGTGAAAGTTACAAAACTGGGGAATTTTTGTGGTAAAATATACATAAAATTTACCATTTTAACCATTTTTAAGTATACCATTCAGTGGCATTAAGTGCATTCACAGTGTTTTATAACCTGCCACTATTTCCAGAACCGCTTCACCATCCCAAACAGACCCATTAAATAATAAACAAATACGTGAATGTTGTATTTGCAGTTTTGCTAGTTATGACCAGACTGCTTTCCAAGGAGGCTGTATGAATTTACACTCCCATCAGAAATATGTGGGAGTGCCTCTGCCGCCTGTGAAAACACAGTGCGTCATTCATTGCTTCATTCAACAGATATTTTGGGCAACTACCACAGGCCATGTGATGTCTTTGCCCTCATGGAGATTTGAGGCTAAAAAAAAGAAAAGAGACAATGTCAGGCAGCGATCAGTGCAGGATGAGGGGATGAAAGTGATGAGGGGGACTATTTTGGGACAGGAGTGTCAGCAAACTTATTTTTTTAAGACTTTATAATTTTTTAAGTTATTGTTATACCCGACATGGGGCTTGAACCCACAACCTGGAGGTCAAGAGTCACACGCTCCACTGACTGAGTCAGCCAGGTGCCCCAGCAAACTTATTTTTTTAGTTAATTAATTAATTTTGAGAGAGAGAGAATGAGTGGGGGAGAGGGGCAGAGAGAGAAGGAGAGAGACAATCTCAAGCAGTCTCCGCCCCATCAGTGCAGAGCCTGATTTGGGCCTCGAATTCAAAAAGCTGTGAGATCATGACCTTAGCCAAAATCAAGAGTCAGACACCTGGAGCACCTGGGTAGCTCAGTTGGTTAAGCATCCCACCAGGTCATGATCTGGTTCCTGAGTTCAAGCCCCAAGTCCAGCTCTGTGCTGACAGCTGGGAGCCTGGAGCCTGCTTTGGATTCTGTGTGTCTCTCTCTCTGCTCCTCTCCTGCTTGAACTCTGTCTGACTCTCTCAAAAATAAATATAAAAAAAGTTTTTTTAATATAAAAAAGAAAAAAAGAGACGCTTAACTGACTGAGCGACCCAGGCACCACCCCCGCCCCAGAAAACTTTTTGATCCTTACTCATCTGATGGTGAAAAACACTATCATGCAATTTGAATTTGCGGTCCTCTATTATGAGTAACTTTTTATTTTATTTAAAAAATTTTTTAATGTTTAATTTTTTAAATTAAATTAAATTTGTGCTGAGCTGTCAGCACAAAGCCTGATGTGGAGCTTGAACCCACAAACTGTGAGATCATGACCTGAGCTGAAGTCGGCCGCTTAACCGACTGAGCCACCCCGGCGCCCCTATGAGTAACTTTTTAAAAGTAGGCTCCACACCCAGCATGAAGCCCAATGCAGGGCTTGAACTCACAACCCTCAGATCATGACTTGAGTCAAGATCAAGAGTCAGACACTTAATCAACTTAGCCAGCCAGGTGCCTTTGATTAATTTTTCAAATGCTTTAAGAGATCACTGTATTTTCTTTCATGTGAATTGTCATGTATATTATATTATTTTTCTGTTGCTAGTCTTTGTCTTCTGCATTTGTAGTTCTTAAATAAGAAAATTAGTTCTTTGGGATATAACTTGCAAATTTTTTTTCAATCTGTCATTGTATATTGACTTTTTTAAATTATTTTATTTTTAAATGTTTATTTATTTTGAAAGACAGAGAATGAGCGAATGGGTGAGGAGCAGACAGAGAGAATCACAAGCAGGCTCTGCGTGGTCAGTGCACAGAGCTGGATGGGGAGCTTGAACTCAAGAAACCATGAGATCACAACCTGAGTTGAAATCAAGAGTTAGACACCACCCAGGTGCCCCTTTTTAAATTATTTAAACACTGAAAACAAAAGTTTATTTATTTATTTTTAGAGTGAGGTGGGGAGGGGCAGAGAGAGAGGGAGACACAGAATCCGAAGCAGGCTCCAGGTTCCGAGCTGTCAGCACAGAGCCCGACTCGGGACTCAACCCCACAGACCATGACATCATGACCTGAGTTGAGATCAAGAAGTTGGATGCTTAACTGCCTGAGCCCCTCAGGCGCCCCTATTTTAAATGTTTTTCTAGTGAAATGTCGCAGTTTTCACGTTATTCAGTGCCACATGTTGTGCTTTGACTCATATCATTTCCTCCAAGTTCATCTGGAAAGGGTGGCAACTCGCTGGGGAACTGCACAAAATATGGAAACTTCACGAATTTGCCAGTCATCCTTGTGCAGGGGCCATGCTAATCTTCTCTTTATCATTCCAATTTTAGTACATGTCCTGCTGAAGTGAGCACTGTATGCCTATTTTTAATCTAAAATGAAAAATATTTTTGGGGTGCCTGGCTGGCTCGTTGAAGAGCATGCGACTCTTGATCTCTGGGGCATGAGTTCGAGCCTCCTGCTGGGTGTAGAGACTACTAAAAATAAATAAATGAATAAACCTAAAATACAATGAAGAGCTAACTTTGAATTCTAGCCCTTGATTCCAACTGTTATAATTTCTAGGATTTTACTTTAATATTATAAACAGGCACAGGTCATTATCTCACAGTTTGTGGGTTCAAGTTCTGAGTGGGGCTCTGTGCTGACAGTGGGGACCCTGCTTGGGATTTTTCTCTCTCCCTTGCTCTCTGCGCCCTCCCCCCACTCATTCTCTCTCTCTTTCTTTCAAAATAAATAACCATTAAAAAATGACTATCTTGCCGTAGAAAAAGAATTTAACACAATTTAACACGACGAAAAACACTCAATGGAAGAAAACTTCCTCAACACGATAGAGGCCACTGATGAAAAACCCACACCTAAGATCACACTCAGCGGTGAAAGACTGCAGACTTCCCCGCAGAATAAGGAAAAAGACAAGGATGCCCGCCTTTGCCACTTCTTTTCAATACTGTACCGTAAGTTCTAACCAGAGAAATAAGGCCATGAAAGGAGATAGCAGGTATCCAAACTGCAAAGGGAGGTGTGACATGATCTCTAGTCACAGATGACAGGCTCTTACATCTAAAAACCCTAAAGAGGGGCGCCTGGGTGGCTTAGTCGGCTAAGCGTCCGACTTTCGCTCAGGTCATGATCTCGCGGTTCGTGGGTTCGAGCCCCGCGTCGGGCTCTGTGCTGACAGCCAGCTCGGAGCCTGGAGCCTGTTTCAGTCTGTGACTCCCTCTCTCTCTGACCCTCCCCTGCTCACGCTGTCTCTCTCTCTCCTAGAAATAAATAAAACATTTAAAAAAAAAAATAAAAAAAAAAAATAAAAACCCTAAAGAGGGGCGCCTGGGTGGCTCGGTAGGTTAAGCGTCCGACTTCGGCTCAGGTCATCATCTCACGGTTCGTGGGTTTGAGCCCTGCATCGGGCTCTGTGCTGACAGCTCAGAGCCTGGAGCCTGTTTCAGATTCTGTGTCTCCTTCTCTCTCTGCCCCTCTCCAGCTCGTGCTCTGTCTCTCTCTATCTCAAAAATAAATAAGCATAAAAAAAAAAGAAAAAATACTTAAAAAAATAAAAAATATATAAAAATAAAAACCCTAAAGATCCCGCACACAAAAGAACTGTTGGAGCTAAGAAATAAATTTAGCAAAGTGGCAAGATGCAAAATCAACGCACAAAAATCAGTCGCATTTATATATATTAGCAATGAACAATCCAGAAAAGTAATTGGGAAAACAAATCCATTTATAGTAGCATGAAAAAGAAGACACTTAGGAATAAATTCAAGTAAGGAGGCCAAGGGCTTGTACATGGAAAATTATGAAATACTGCTGATAGAAATTAAAGACCTAAATAAATAGAACGACACACGTGCTCATGGACTGGAAGACCTAATGCTGTTAAGATGGCAGCAATACCCAAGGAAATCTAGATTCAATGTAATCAAATCAAAATCCCAAAGGTGATGAAGTTTTGAAAGCGAGGTGGTGGTTACAAAACATTGTGAATGCACTAAATGCCGCTTAATTGTACACTTTAAAAATGGTTAATCATGGGCGCCTGGGTGGCTCGGTCGGTTAAATGTCTGACTCTGGCTCAGGTCATGATCTCAGGGCTCATAGGTTCAAGCCCCACGTTGGGTTCTGTGCTGACAGCTCAGAGCCCAAAGCCTGCTTCAGATTCTGTGTCTCCCTCTCTCTCTGCCCCTCCCCCCTCTAAAATAAAAGAGAGAGAGAGAGAGTGGGGGGGGGCAGTCGCGAGACACTACTTTTTCAAATATTCAAAAGAGTTGTAAGAATTTTATGATAAACACTCATGCCCATCATTTAGAGTCTACAATTCTGGATTCTATAATTAGGCTTTATCACATGTCAACCCATCTATCCATCCCGTCCATTCATTTATACATCTTATTCTATTTCACGGTAAGTTGCAGATGTCCTTATCCATCGTTCCTCAGCACTTCAACGTAAGGCTGAGTTTTATGCAAGAAACTTTAGCTCTCCCTTAAAATTCACACGCACTCAGTTATAAACAGTAAAACTTATGAACTAGAATTATCTTCTATATGTGTTATAACTTCTCATAACCCTATCTGATCGAGATTCTGGAACAACATACTGGTGGGGAATAAAACATTTTGAAAGCAAGAGCATCTTTGTATTTTTATGTTTGGCAGGAAAAACAACATGAGCTCAGCCACCTAAGATAGAGCAGTTTTAGTCCTGAAGATTTGTTTCAGTCTGATTAGTCAACACCCAAGATTATTGTTTAGCTCCATCTCCTTAAGTATTCTCTATCACATTGTACCTGAGTACACAAAAGTATTTTTTGGTCCAGATGAAATCCTTTATAGTTTCTCTTTAGGTAAAGTTGATTCTCTGGAAGGAGACTCCTATCTGAAGATATATTTTTCCTTACTCCCTTTCTACACTATTCATCACAGTGAGTGCAGGGAGGCCCCTACAGGACCCAAGTTTGTTTGTTTGTATGTTTATTTTTGAGGAAGAGAGGGAGACAGAGTGTGAGCAGGGGAGGGCAGAGAGAAAGGGAGACACAGAATCCAAAGTAGGCTCCAGCACAGAGCCCAATGCAGGGCTGGAACTAATGAGCCACAAGATCATGACCTGAGCCAAAGTTGGACGCTTAACCAACTGACCCACTCAGGTGCCCTTCCAAGACTCAAGTTTTAAAAAATATAAAATAAGCAAGCAATTGTTGAGGTGAAATCAGTAGAAGTCACACCAAAAGTCAGAAGTATTCCAGTGAAAAACAGCAAAGGTAGGGCAAGAAAACACAAAGACGAAAAAAGGCACTAGGTTGGGCAGCAATGAATAATTTGTGAACACGAGGGGGGCGGCACGTGCTAGGGCAGGCAGGAGAGCCAAACAAGGAGTGGTTCCAAGGCCAGACAGTGGACTGCTGTCAACAGAGAGGAAGGTTCTGTTTGTGAATCCAAGGACCAGCCCCATTCTTACCAAGCAGCATCTGGCATCCTGCCTGATTGCAGGAACATTCCCAATGGGATAAAGCTATTCAGTATCTATAGTCCAAGGCCACAAACCATTAAGCTGATCCCCCTTGACTAAAAAATAGGAAGACTGTGAATCGAAGAGGCAGAAGATACATATGATCCAGGACAGCAGAGAAGACCCTGGATTAAGGCCCAGTCCACTTTGATGGCTCAGGGAGGGAGGTTTCCCAGGGGGGAAAAATGGGAATTTGAGATTTGATGCTATCCCTGGTAATTCAGAACAACTTATAGAAGCACTAAGGGAATATGATACAAGGAGAAAGGAAATATAATTAGAAGGTTTTTAAAAGCAAACAATGGTGGGGCGCCTGGGTGGCTCAGTTGGTTAAGCGTCCAAATTCTGCTCAGGTCATGATCTCAGGGTCGTGGGTTCGAGCCCCGTGTTGGGCTCTACGCTGACAGCTAGCTTAGAGCCTGGAACCTGTTTCTGATTCTGTGTCTCCCTCTCTCTCTGACCTTTCCCTGTTCATGCTGTCTCTCTCTCTCTCAGAAATAAATAAAACACATTAAAAAAAATTTTTTTAAAAAGCAAACGATGGCAATGGGAATCATATTACAATATGTAAATCTATCAAATCAACATGTTGTACACCTTACATTTACACATCAAATACATCAGATGTATTTTAATTAAAAAAAAAAAAAGCAAACATTGACCAGAAAGGAAACATAATCATAGCATGTATAGGAAATTTTACAAATTTATTGCCTTATGTGGAGAAAAGAGGTAAGCAAAATGGGCATGGAAACTAAGCAAGTATCATTGCAGGGTGCTTACAAATAATTTCCAAAATGAGTCTATCAAGAAACAACGGCAAAAGCGTATCTTTTTACAAATGAAAGCTCCGAAAGAAATGGTTAAAGAGTTAAAAGTGTATTGATCCAGGGGCACCTTGGTGGCTCAGTCAGTTAAGTGTCCAGCTCAGGTCATGATCTCCATGGTTTGTGGGTTAGAGCCTTGAGTTGGGCTCTGCACTGATGGTGCAGAACCTGCTTGGGATTCTCTCTCTCTCTCTTTCTGCCACTCCCCTGCTCCCACTCTCGCTCTCTCAAAATAAATAAATATACTTAAAAAAAAAAGTGTATTAATGCAATTTGGGAAGATGAGAAAGTTCTAGAGAGGATGGTGGGGATAGCTGCACAACAATGTGAATGTACTTAATACCACTGAACTGCACACTTGTACCTAGCACAGGCAAATTCATAGATACATAAAGCAGATTAAAGCTTACCAGGAGCAAGGGGAACGACCAACTAGTGGGTTCCCGGTTTCCTTTCGCAGTGATGAAAAGGTTTTGGAAACGGATAGTGGTGGTAGTTGCACAACACTGTGAACGCAATTAACACCACTGAACTGTAAGATTAAAAATGGTTCAAATGGCAAACTTTTATATCTTGTATATTTTACAATTAAAAAAAAATAATGTAACATACCAAAGCCCATTGAACTGTACAATTTAAATGCATGAGTTATCTACTGAGCTAATTTAATCCCAAAGCTGTTATACAGAATGTCTTATACAAACATTCACAGCAACACGAAAGGTGGAAACAACTCAAATTTCCATCAAATAAACAAAATGTGGTATACACGTGTCCTGTTAAGCCATTTCAAGAAAAAATCTACATTAAGGGGCACCTGAGTGGCTCAGTTGGTTAAGCATCTGACTTTAGCTCAGTTCAGTGATCTTGTGGTTCATGAGTTGAAGCCCTGTGTCAGGCTCTATGCTGACAACTCAGAGCCTGGAGCCTGCTTCACATTCTGTGTCTCCCTCTCTCTGCCCCTCCCCTCCTCACGCTCTGTCTCTCTCTCTAAAGTAAACAAACATTTGAAATAATGTGGTTAAAAAAAACAACAACCTACATTAGTACCTATTTTCACTAACCAAAAGAAATCTGAAAGCATTTTTGCTTTTACAGAGGCAGCTTGCACCCCGTGCAGTGAGAGTGGCCCCACCAAGCTCTTTTCCAGGGAACTACACTCAGCCTCTCCGCATCAAGCTACTATAGCTTTGAATTGTGTATCTGCGCTTGATCTAGATTTATTTTGTGCATCTTTTAGTAAGATGTGTCCTACGGTATAAGTAAAGCCTAAGAGAGGTTATTTTTTGGGTCTGGAAATGTTCAAAAATTTTTCCATATAAGTTAATGGTAATTGCTTTCCTGCTTTACACCACTTCGGCTTTAGAAAGGTTTCATAGAAACATTCTACTTTGGGATGGCAGGGGAAACCTGTATCCATACAACGGAGTATTATTCAACCATAAAAGGGGTGAAATACCGATGAATGCTACATCAATGCACCTTGAAAACTTCAGAAATCAGACTCGAAAAGGCCACAGACTGCAAGATTGCATTTCTGTGAAATATCCAGGAAAAGTAAATGCATAGAGAGAGAAAGATTCGTGATTACCATGGGATGGAGGGAGGGGATCATGGGGAGTGGCTGTTCAAAGGGTAGGGGGTTTCCTTTAGGGGTGATGAAAGCAGTGATAACGTTTGCATATTAATAACGTACTAAATGCTTAATTTTAAGGTATAAAATTGGTTTTTGTTACATGTATTTTACCACAATCAAAAATGCGGTGATGACCGGCAAGTGTGTACAAGGAAACATTCAGGGGTGACATCAAAGCTGTGTATTTTGTTTTGGGTGATGGTTAACACGGTTGTACTTGTCAAAACTCGGCGAATGTTACACTGAAGAGCTGTGCGTTTTACTTTACGTACAATATAATTCAAATCAACAACAGAGTTCAAAGTGGTCTCTAGGGAACAAAGTGAAAGGGTACAGGGGGCTGCCTTTTTCATTATAAACCTTCGCATTACTTTTTAAAAACCATGCCTAATAGTTAATTTAGAAAACATTTTAAATGTAATTAAAAGTGTCCCCATTCCGACTGCAACCTCACCATGCAAGTTCCTCCCCTAAGCTCCAGTCCAGAGACTGAGAGAGCCGTCCCGCCCGATGCAAGCAGTCGGGCGCGATCCACAGCCGTGGTCTCAACGGTAAACGTGTACCCGGTCTCTACCTCGGCTATAGCCCAGGCGTGGCCAGTGGGTCTCCCGAAGGGGCTGGGGACCGGATTCCAGATCCTGCGTCGGGAGGCATGGAGGAACACCGTCGAGGACACAATGCCAGCTCCATAGATGCCGAGGAAGCCTCGAGGCTCCACAGACAGCCGCCCGAGTGGCGCTGTCCAACGCTCCACCAGGCCCGGCCTCTTCCTGCTCTTTGGGCCAATCACCGGCCGCCTGGCCGAGCAGGCAAAGGGCGGTGCTGGAAGCCACGGTCCGTCCATCTTTCTTGAAGGCAGGAAGGCTCCGCCCCTCAGCCCACCTCAACCCCGTTCCCATTCCGCCCCGCCCCGCCTATTTCCTCTCCCACCCAACCTGCAGCGGCCATTGTGGTTGAGGGCAAGTGGCCTCTGAGGCCAGAGAAGCCAGACAGGCGCCATGTTTGATATGGTCAAAGAATGGCGCCCTTAAAAGAATCCAGAGACAACTGGAGCCAGGATGTCGCCATATTTTCTGAAGACACCTTCCGGGTCTCTTAACCCGGCTGTCTAAGTCCAAGCTGCCATGAAGTGAATAAACACCGAGGGGTTTTGTTTGTCCCCACCACACCCCCCGAATCCCTAGCAGCCAGTCCCTGCTACCTCGCGGCCCTCGACTGCGCTCGGACGCCGAGGCTGGGCGGGGCCCCGGCCGCCGCAGCCCTTCCTGTGGACGACGAAAGCTGAGGCCGCGCGCGGGGAGGCGGTGGCCCCGGGGACTAGGCGGCCGCTGCTCGGGGCCGGGAGGCCCCAATGGCGCCGCCCCCAGGCCCGCTCCTGGCGCTGAGACCCGGGGAGACCGGGCCTGGTTGCAAGAAGCCCGGGGCCGTGAGCTTCGCGGACGTGGCCGTGTACTTCTCCCCGGAGGAGTGGGGGTGTCTGCGGCCCGCGCAGAGGGCCCTGTACCGGGACGTGATGCGGGAGACCTACGGCCACCTGGGCGCGCTCGGTGAGGCCCCGGGCCAGAGCCCCCTCCTCCTTCACTGGGGTTCACAGGGGAGATGACATGAGGAGCGAGAGGGCTGTGAGCCCTAGGTCCCGCACTATTCCACCAACAGCACCAGCCACCTCCATTCCCAGGGCTTCAGGTTAGGGAGCGCTTCCATCGGGCATCCGCTTCCTTTAAGCAGGAGCACTGCAGAAGTTGTCCAAGTTGAGCATAAATTCTGAGGAGGTGCCCTACCCTGGCAGGGGGATGCCATCTTCCCAGAACAGCCTCTCAGCCCAGCACTGTGATCCCTGTTCTCTCCCAGGATTCCCAGGCCCCAAACCAGCCCTCATCTCTTGGATGGAACAGGAGAGTGAGGCTTGGAGCCCCGCCGCCCAGGATCCTGAGGAGGGGGAAAGCCTGGGAGGAGCTCTGAGAGGTGAGGGATGGTCCCAAGTTTCCCCCCACTTGGCGCTCCAGGGCTTCCTGTTGCACAGAATTTTCTTTTGAATCCTCACTGCCAGCGTCCCTGAAGGAATTAAAGAGCTGCCAATGTTGGGTATTAAAGAGGAAAGAAGGCAGACCTGGTACAAAGTTTTCAGAACTTGGGACAGTGGTCATATTAGGACCAGAGTAGGAGAATCAGGAGCCCAAGTCCAAGACTCTGGTTTCTAGGTCCCACTTGGAGAAAACACCACTCATTCTTCCTTCTTCAAGAACAACTAAAACCCCCTAGGCATGGAAGCGGTGTCAGGTCTGCCTTTCACATTCCTCAAGCAAGGCAAAGTGGTACAAGCAAAAATGCCCAGTAATCAGCAGCTTGGCTCTTCTCCCCTCACCATCCCCGAGAAGAGTGATCTTGTGCAAATGTTTCCTCATCTGTAAAAGTCTTACCCTACAAAAAGTTGAGAAAACACAATAACGGTGGAGCTGTTTTATTGAGCATTTACTAAATGCTTAACATGCTTCCACTGATTTAATCCTCCTGGCAACCCTGTGAAGTAAAGAAGCCTTTGATTCCCATTTGCCACAAGAGACAGCACGGCCCGGATAAGCCACTCTTAAACGTAAACCTTAATTATCATCCTTCAAAGCCTGTGTTTTAATCGCTGGACAGTACTTATCTGCCGTTTCCTAAGTCAAAGAACCCTACAACCTGAAATGGTGTAAGCAAATGTGTTGTAAAACATATCTTAATTCCTGTTTCCCAGGAGGCACCCCAAACAAGAATGAAGAGGCATCAGAGGAAGGGCCAGGAGCCAAGGGACCCCGAAAGACTCCTGGGAAGGAGCCTTCTAAAGAGCTGGTTAACCACAACCCGGATTGGACCCTAAGAAAGGTTTCGGCAAGAGCACAGCAACCCACCAACGCTGCCTGGGAGCAGAGCACCGGTGTGCAGCCCGCGGTCCCGGTGCCCAGCGTGGACGCTCAGGACAGCCAGCGGCGTCACGTGTGCGCCGACTGTGGCCGCCGCTTCACCTACCCGTCGCTGCTGGTCAGCCACCGGCGCATGCACTCAGGGGAGCGGCCCTTCCCCTGCCCCGAGTGTGGCATGCGCTTCAAGAGGAAGTTCGCTGTGGAAGCACACCAGTGGATCCACCGCTCGTGCTCCGGGGGGCGGCGGGGCCGGAGGCCTGGGATTCGGGCTGTGCCGCGGGCTCCGGTGCGGGGGGACCGGGACCCGCCTGTGCTGTTCCGACACTACCCGGACATCTTTGAGGAGTGCGGGTGAACTGCGCCAGCAGGCCCCGGGGGTGAGCCTGACCTTGGACTGCCTGGGCCTTGAGGGAGGCTCCTGAGTTAGGGATTTGGGAACCGAAATTCATCCCTTGGGCGGCCCTCTAGGATCCCTCAAGTTTTAAAACTTGTAAAAAGTGCCTGTAAAGATTCAAACAGATTAAACTTGACACTACCCCCCTCCCCCCTCAGGCTTTCTTAAAAAAATGAAGACAGGGGACTTTTCTCAAAGTGTTAATCTCAGCAGCACGTGAAACCAAGATCTTTCCCGGGTCTCAGGAACCTGTCCTTGCTGCTTCTCTTCATAGGAAGCAAATGCTGAGGGGACTAAGGCCCCGAGAGGGGCCCAGGGCCTCATGGCTAATTCACAGCAGCAGGGAGCCTGGGAAGTGAAGTGGGTGGAAAGAATACAGAGCACAGATCTAGTCTCTGCAGCTTGTCCCCAGGCACAGCTGGTAAGTCACATGCCATCCCTGAGCCTCAGCTCCCTCATCTGTAAAATAGAAATTCGTAATATCTACCTCAAAGGGTTACTGTGAAGGCTGAAATTTTAACAAGGTAGTGTGTACAATGTAGTAAATGTGCAATAAACACTTGTTGAAAGAGCGAATTACTGTTGACATTTTATGCTAAGGAAAACGTAAAGAAGCCTGCTAACGAGGCAGGGCATGGATATCAGTAGCCATATTTTGCAGATGAGTAAACTGAGGCTCTAAGAGAAGAAGTGATTTTCTCACAAAGTATCGCTGCTATAAGGCAGCAAAGCTGGAAACTGACACAGTGCCTAGATATCTACCACTTTATTTTTCTTTTTAAAGCTTACTTATGTTGAGAGACAGAGTGCGAGTGGGAAAGGAGGAGAGAGAGAGGGAGAGAGAGAGAATCCCAAGCAGGCTCCATGCTGTTAGCACAGAGCCTGACACAGGGCTTGATCCCACAAACCATGAGATCATGACCTGAGGTGAAATCAAGAGTCAGATGCTTAACTGACTGAGCCACTCAGGCGCTCCTGTCTACCACTTTCTATGGGCAATCATGTCTGGACAGAAAACAGATCAGGGGCTCAGGTGTAGGTGAGGTGAGAACTGAGGCCTGGGCAGTGGGCTAGCCCTGCCTTTCTGGGGGAGTCTCAGCAGGAAACTGAGAGTCCCATCAAGGCCAGTGACCTTGCACTTAGAAAATGCTGTCCTTGGGGTGCCTGGGTGGCTCAGTCAGTTAAACGTCCTACTTTGGCTCAGGTCATGATCTCGCAGTTCGTGGGTTCGAGCCCCACATCGGGTTCTGATCAGGCAGCTCAGAGCCTGGAGCCTGTTTCAGATTCTGTGTCTCCCTCTCTCTCTGCCCTTCCCCCGCTCATGCTCTGTCTCTCTCTCTCTTTCAAAAATAAATTTAAAAACTATTAAAAAATTAAAAAAGAAAGAAAGTGCCGTCCACATTCAGTGGCCATATATTGAGTCGCTTCTGTGGGAGAGACTGCTAGGTGGTAAGGGAGTTCCAGGATAAAGCAGGCTGATCCCATTCATTCATTCAGCAAACACCATATGAGGCCTCTGTGGATTTCTGTGCTGGGCTCCAGGGACACTCGGACTCAGGTCCCATGCTCCACGTGAGAAGACAGTGATTGGGGCTATGATGGAGGGAGTCCAGAGGCACCACCTAACCCATCCTGCCCTGGCGACACACCAGGAAATGCAGCTTGGGGAAGGAGGTGGTTGTACTTCCCATAGCATAAGTAGGAATTGTAGTAGAAACAGTAGAGATAGCACAGTAGGAATTGGTGTGTGTGGGAGGGAGGTTTTCAGGCAAAGGGAGACTTGCTTCATAGAACGGATAAAAAAGGCACAGTGTGGAGTAGAGGTTAAGAGCATGGTCTCTGGCGTCAGACTGTCTGGGTTTGAACCCTGACTCACTTGCTTGATAGCAGTGCAGTCTCTAGCAAGTCACTTCTTGCCCCATCTCACTTGTGCCTTAGTTTCTTCATCTATGAAACTTGGATAATAAAAGCACCTACCTCCTAAGAATGGTGTAAGGATTAAGTGAAATAATACAGGGGCGCCTGGGTGGCTTAGTCGGTTAAGCATCTGACCTCAGCTCACGTCATGATCTCACGGCTTGTGAGTTCAAGCCCCGTGTCGGGCTCTGTGCTGACAGCTAGCTCAGAGCCTGGAACCTGCTTCAGATTCTGTGTCTCCCTCTCCCTCTAGCCCCTCCCCTACTCACTGTCTGCCTCTCTCTCCCTCAAAAATAAATAAACATTAAAACATTTAAAAAAAATTTTAATGATATAATACAGCAGAGGGCCTTGCACTTTAGTGTTTAATAAACAGTAGTTATTGTTATTCCAAAACAATACAAAATAGTATGTAAAGGGGAAAAAGAGGAGACCTATGCGGGTCTTCTGATTCAAGGAAGTTTTCCTGGAGGTGGTTCAAACTGGCCTTGAAGGAAGGGGAGGCTGACACAGTGCTCAGTCCCATGAACTGTGAGATCTTGACCGGAGTAGAAACCAAGAGTCGGAAGCTTAACTGACTGAGCCACCCAGGCGCCCCCAGCAAGACTTTTTCTTGCAGCTGCTCTTGTTTGCTGACGTTTGGATTGGGGAGTAAGATACTCAGGAGAGGCTTCTGCTGTAGAAACTGCATGGCTCAGTGACTGACAGTATGATCTGTGAGCAGGTAAGTCCCAGAGGGTTGAAGCACGGAGAGCCAGAGCAGGGGAGCCCAAGGGAGCCTTGGAGGGCGTGGAGGCCAAGGGATGACCAGTCCTGGAGAGGGATGAGTCAAAGAGAAAGTGGAGCTGGAGAGAAGAGGCACCACCAGGGAGGAGGAGCGGAAGCAGGTACAGTGTATCTAGCACAAAGCTGCCTGGGTCAGCAAAAGGCACACATTGAGTGCTTCGTTTCTCATTTATCCATTTAACAAATACCTACTAAGCATTTGCCAAGTACTAGGCACTATTCTATGTGCCAAGATATAGCAGGGAAAACAGACCTAGGAACCATTTTGGAACTCACTTTCGAGGAAGGTGGGGAGAGACAAGTGATAAGCCAGTACTTAAGTAAGACAAGGTATTGTAACTGTAAATAATAAGTACTGCAAAGGTACTAAAACAGATGACGTGCTCAGAGGGCCTGTTGCAGATGGGTACTTAGGCCAGGCCTTGGTACAGAGGAGACATCTGAACTGAGATCCAAACGATGAGAAGGAGCCAAGGGGAAATGGGAGTCGGGGAGTGCAGGGTTTAGAGGCTGGGAGTGGGGGCCAGGCAGGGGTTTCCAGACAGGCCGAATAGCAGGTGCTATGCTCTGTGGTAGGGGTGAGTCTGGGTGAGGTGCGGAAAGGACATCGGTGGCTGGATTGAGGAACTGAGCGGAGAAGAATTACAGATGAGCTTGGAGGAGGGGGAAGGGAGTGGGTCATAGGGCTCTGGCTTGGTGCCAAGTTTGGATTTGATTCAAATTGGGAAGCCACGGGGTGCCTACGTGGCTTAGGCGGTTAAGCATCCGACTTTTGCTTAGGTCATGATCTCTCGGTTCGTGGGTTCGAGCCCCGCGTCGGGCTCTGTGCTGACTGCCAGCTTAGAGCCTGGAGCCTGTTTCAGTCTGTGACTCCCTCTCTCTCTGACCCTCCCCTGCTCACGCTGTCTCTCTCTCTCTCTCTCTCTCCTAGAAATAAATAAAACATTAAAAAAAAAAATTAAAAAAAAAACTGGGAAGCCACTGGGTTGTGGTTTTTCTTTTCCTTTTTGTTTTGGTCTTGTGATAAAATATACATAATTTTTTTTTTTTACCATTTTAAGTATTTTTAAGTGTACAGTTTAGTGGCATTAAGTACATTCACATTATGTGCATCCATTACCACCATCCCTCTCTAGAACTTTTCCATTTTCCCCAGCTGAAACTCTGTACCCATTAAACTCCGGCTCTTCCTTTCCCCAGGCTCCTGCAACCACCCTTCCACCTTCTCTATGAATTTCTTTTTTTTTTTTTTAATGTTTTTTATTTATTTTTGAGAGAGAGAGAGAGACAGTGTGAGCAGGGTGGTGCCAGAGAGAGAGGGAGACACAGAATCCGAAACAGGCTCCAGGCTCTGACCCAGCTGTCAGCACAGAGCCCGATGCGGGGCTCGAACCCACAAACCCTGAGATCATGACCTGAGCCGAAGTCAGACGCCCAACCGACTGAGCCACCCAGGCGCCCCCCCACCTTCTCTATGAATTTCACTGCTCTAGGGACCTCATATAAACCACTGGGAAGTGGGTTTGGTTTTCTTTTAATGTTTATTTTTGAAGAAAGAGAGACAAAGTGTGAGCAGGGGAGGGGCAGAGAGAAAGGGAGACACAGAATCCGAAGACTCCAGGCTAGTTGTCAGCCCAGAGCAGGATGTGGGGCTCAAACCCACGAGCGGATACATCATGACCTGAGCTGAAGTCGGACACTTAACCGACTGAGCCACCCAGGCGCCCCACCACTGGGAGGTTTTAAGTAGAGTGTCAAGGTGATTTGATTTGCAAACGCTTTCTGGCTGCCCTAAGAATGGGCTGCAGTGGGGCAAGCAGAGTGGAAACGGAGAGGAGCAGAAGGACCAGAGGTAAACACAGAGTTGACAGGACCTGCCTGTGAGCTGGGTGTGGGGGCTGAGGCATCAGAAGAGCCTGGAATGATGATAAGCTGGAATGATGATAAGCTGAGCAAGGAGGAGGAGGAAGAGGAGGATTGAGGAGCCAGTTGCTGGAGGGGCCTGGGGCTGGGGGGGGGGGCGGGGGGCCGCGATGACAGGGTGGACCGCAGCATTTTAGATCTGGAAGACAGCTCTTGGTTCCAAAGGTTTAAGCAGGGTTTAGGAAGCTGTGGGTGGAAGAGGTTTCTTTGCTGAGGAGATTCTTCAGGGGGTGTGGGGAAGAATGCTTGTTCTTTCCACAAGCTCTCATGTAAATACTGTTCCACAGAACACGCTCTGAGAAAGGCTGAGGCCCGGTCTTAAAGACCTTACTTAAGATCACACAGTTGAATTGGTGGCAGAGGCAGGTTTGGAACCCAATCCTCTCGATTTCTCAGTGGGTGAACTTGCTCTTTTCACTACACGAGGCTGCGATGTGGGATGGATGGGCAAGGGAAAAGGCTGGAAGCCCAGAGACCAGCCAGGTGACCCAGGCCTAAACCATCAAGGGCCTGAGCAAGAGGAGCCCACTGGTGAGAGCTGTAACAAAGTACCTTTTGTGAAGCCTGTCACCCTTCCTCCAGGGCAATTTCACATACCTCCTAAACGCCAAAATGACATTTTTTTTTGTCCTGAGATGAGCCTTAAATACAACCCTTTCACTTACTTTCTTTTTTTTTTTTAAATTTTTTTTTAATGTTTTTTTTTTTTTTTTCTAGGAGAGAGAGACAGCGTGAGCAGGGGAGGGTCAGAGAGAGAGGGAGTCACAGACTGAAACAGGCTCCAGGCTCCGAGCTGGCAGTCAGCACAGGGCCCGACGCGGGGCTCGAACCCACGAACCGCGAGATCATGACCTAAGCGAAAGTCAGACGCTTAACCGACTAAGCCACCCAGGCGGCCCTCACTTACTTTCTTTTTTTTTTTTTTTTT